ACTCATTTGTTTTTCAGGGCCCAGTCCAGATATCACGTACTTTTTGAAAAGGTCGCTTCCTCCTGTCACATCAGGATTAAGTGCCTTTTGTTTACATTCCCATTCCTCCAAGAAAAGGTTAATTACATATTTATTCAGTCATCCATTTATTAAATTGATTAGTAGGTGATTGGGTCACAGTTTCTGCCCTTCCTATGCTTATAATTAGTAGGAAAAAGACCTTCAGAAAATTAACTTTGTCAATAAATCAATAAATAACAAGTGTTAGTGAGGATGTGCAGAAAAGGGAGCCCTGGTGCACTGTTGGCGGGATTGTAAATTAGTGCAGCTACTATGGAAAACAGTATGGAGTCTCCCCAAAAACTTAAAAATGGAGCTGCCATTTGATCCTGCAGTCCCATTTTTAGGTATCTGGAGAAAACAAAAATACTAATTTGTACCCCTGTGTTCATTGCATTATTATTGACAATAGCTAAGATAAGAAAGCAACCTAACTGTCCACTGATAGATGAATGGGTTAAAGAAGATGTGGTACATATATACAACGGAATACGACTCAACCATAAAAAAGAATGAAATCTTGCCCTTTGCAACAACATTGATGGACCTAGAAAGTATTGTACTAAGTGAAGTAAGTCAGATAAAGAAAGACAAATCCTGTATGATCTCACTTATATGTGGAATCTAAAAAAATAAAATAGAAACATTACATAGATATAGAGAACAAGCTGATGGTTGCTGAAGGGAGTGTGATGCAGGATGGGAATACAGAAAAAAAAATTATTTTTAAATTGAAATTAAAATTTTTTAAAAATTAAATTTTTTTTTTCCTTATTGATTTTTAGAGGAAGGGAGAGGGAGAGATAGAAACATCGACGAGGGAGAACATCGATTGGCTGCCTCCTGCATGCCCCTCACTGGGGATCGGGCCCACAACCTGGGCATGTGCCCTGACCAGGAATCAAACCAGTGACCTCTTGGTGCATGGGTCAACGCTCAACCACTGAGCTAAACCGGCCAGGCTAAAAAAATGTTTGAAGGGTAAAAGGACTTTGCCTCAGAGGAAAGTGGTGTTAAGTATAATTCCCTCCTCTGGTAAAGGCAGGATAAGCTTGGGTATGGAAAAGGCTTAGCCCAGGCCAGGAGACCTGGTAACTGCAAGAAAAGGTAGATGTTAACTTAATGACCAGTGAAAGGAGCCCCTCTCAGTCCATCTTCCCTTCCTTGGACTTGGCTTTGTCACCTGTGGGACTTCCAGACTCCCTGGCACACCTGCAGGAGGGCTGGAGGAGACAGATATGAAGGTATCAGCCGGGACAGAAACAACTTCGTCAGGCCGCCTGTCACAGAGCCCAAGCGGGGTTTAAGGGAATCCCCTATGGAGGGAAGAAATGAGTTTTGAGTGAGTCCTGCACACACACGGGGCAGCCATAGGGCGGGGAGGTTGGCTGACAACGCAGCTGCTCTTGGCTGCAAGTCCCTCTGGCATCTCACCTTCAGACCACCGCTCTTCCTGTAACACAGCAGCCTCCCCCGGGGCGGACCACGCTCTTCGCCACGTTTCAGTGAGGCCAGGAAGGAAACTCCAGGCGCAGACAGAAAAGGGCCCTTTCCTCAAACGGTCAGTCCCCCGGGATGAGCTGGAGTCTGTGCTCGCAGGAGGGGCCTCGCTGTGCCTCTCTGACCCCTCTGCTAACTTGCAGTGGGGCTGAGCTGAGCCCCAGTCCTCAGCCTCCTTCTTTCACCTCTAAGTCTGTTCACTCACATACAGCCAAGTCCACAGTTTTGGTCTTTAAAGTGTATGTGTGTCACCCAGCCGGTGTGGCTCAGTGGTTGAGCGTCGACCATGCATTGAGAGGTCATCGGTTTGATTCCCGGTCAGGACACATGCCCAGGTTGTGGGCCCGATCCCCAGTGGGGGGCATGCAGGAGGCGGCCATTCAGTGTTCTCTCGCGTCGATGTTTCCATCTCTCTCTCCCTCTCCTTTGCTCTCTCTCTAAAATCAATAAAGAAAAAAAAACAGTAAAGTGCATTTGTGTCACCTGGGGGTCTTTTTAAAGGCAGGTTCTGATTCCGGGGCCTGGGGTGGGGCCTGCCAGTCTGCACTTCTAACCCACTTCCTGGTGACACGGATGCTGCTGGTCCATGGGCAGCAGTTCTAGTAGGACGTTGGTCACTTAGTTTGACAGTATTCAATCTAATGTTGTGCCTGGAACATGGCACTGAGCCCAGAAACCAAAAGGAAATGGGCATAGTGAAAATGTATCGTGTGTTTGCTGTATACCAGTCTCTGTGCTCATCTCTTTCTAGAGACTGTTGTTTTTCACCTGCACACAATCCTGCCCAGCTGATGTGGCCCAGTGGTTGAGTATTGACCCAGGGACCAAGAGGTCGCCGGTTTGATTCCCAGTCAGGGCATATGCCCAGGTTGCGGGCTCGATCAATGTTTCTCTCTCATCGGTGTTTCTATCTCTCTCTCCCTCTTTCTTCCTCTCTCTCTAAAAAAATCAATAAAAAAAAATTTAATCTTCACACACTCCTCTGATATGAGGTAGGTATTAGGATTGTTCTGATCTTGCAGAAGAAAATACCTGCAGACCTTAAGAGGGCTGGGCTCTCCTAACTCTGGAGGAAGGTGACAGACAGGCCGCATACTGCCCAGGGCAGCGCTGGTCAGGGCTCGTGAGTGCTTCTTAATTAGTCCTGGAAGCTGCAGTCTCGTCTGGCATCAGGAAACGTCCTCCCTGACCTTGAGGTGTGGGAGGAAATTCAGTGTGGAGTAGGAGCTGACCCCTCGTCCACCTGCCAGGCATGCACCCAACTTCAAAAATGCCTCTCTTTCAAGCTTTTTAACATTTCACAATATTTCGACATGACAAGGAAATAAAAATGGAAATGCTTTGAAACATTTCCTTGGATTCTTGTCCTCAGACCATGTGATCAAATTGAAGTTTAGTCATAGGGCTCCAGTTTAACATATGCAGTTACTATAGCAATTGAGGTTTCCTTAGTAACAGTTGCAAAAATAATCTGGCCCCAATTAATAATACATTTTAAAGCTCTTTCTGCCCTACACTGAACAACCCGGTTTTTTTGGCCAAGGACTATTGGATAATTCGGGTGGTGTCCTTTGCACTGCTGTAGACGTCATTTGCATGCAGTGAATTGTGTTGGAAAGGAATGAAAAGGGGCTAGTTGCTTCAAGTATCACAGGAACCCAGTTTGAAAAGTTGACTGGCTAGCTAATGGGAATGGAGTTTCCAGAGCTCAGGAGCTTACTGGTTAACCAGCCCTAGGTCCCAGTGTACCCTGGAGGCCTTTGTGTTTGAAGAAGGGATAAGGCAGGAGACTGGGCTTGTTCACAGAAAGGATGAACCAGAATAGTGGCGCGTGGGATTTCTTTCATGTCCATGCTTGGTGTGTCCTTGCTGGCTCCAGAAGGTCTGTAGGCATGTGACTCCAGCAGCCCTTTGTGCAGTGTGTCGCCTGGTATACCAGGGGTGCCCTTCTCTGAGATGTAGCCTTTGAGTTGCTGTTGCAGTAATGGCGCTGGGTGTTGGGTCCTACCATGCCTTAGCTCGCTGAATCCGCTCTGCCATTCAGAAGGGTTGTCTGTGTGTTACCAGGCCGCCCAAGTTTCAGTTGCCTTGGCACATGGGACTCAGATCTTGATGATGTCTTCCCACACCCAACTCTAAGCGAGCCAGCCGGCTGGCACTGGCAGGGGAGGCCCAGGCATGCCCAGTGGGCTCAGTCCTCGGTCTGGATCAAGAGACTGACCAGCAGTGGTGCTGGAGGCAGGCCCAGCGGAAGAAGCCCGGCACCTCTCCCTGTTGGGGTCTGTGCCTGGTCCTGGGTCTCTTAGCGGGTGAGTGGTTTGGTTTCGAAAGGCAAAGTGTGAAGAGGGGTGAGGTGGAATGGTGGTTTTACTATTAGCTTCATAAGAGGAACTTGGAATATTGTCTTTTTCAGGGGGTGGAGGATGGTGGGTAGAGAGAAGCAGAGCCAAGTATAATAATGATGGAGTGGGTGTGATCGCAAATTACCTTCATAAGATATATTTCATTAGAAGGTGGCTTGTTGCCACCTCAGAGGTGAGCACAGCCATTAATTAGCAGGTAGGTTCACTCCGGAGTCAGCCCTCCCTCCTGGTTTTGGAGCAGGATAGTGAGGGGCGGGGACTGGATTGGCTCTGTTCTGTCACACTACTTTTCATTTTCTTCTCAGTCTGCCCCCTTCCCCTCCCTTCCCCAGGAAGCTCACCCAGTGTCCTCCAGCCACCTGCTAACCGTAGTTCTTCAGCATTCTTGCATCTGCTCACCCACTGTCACATCCCAGCGAACACTGAGCCCTTCTGAAGCCCAGGCACTATGCCCAGTGCTGAGGGTGCGGTGACGAGAACGTCCTCTAGGCAGGGCTGTCTCATTAACGTCACGAGGGGGTAGAGTGGGCACACTCTAAATACTTGCAGATCGAATGGGAAAAGCTTGATCTGTATCCTTGGGGAGCTCAGACTAGGATGGAGGAGAGAATGGACGGAAGCATAGAGAAGGGCATGTGGCCCAGGGGGTGGGATGAGGGAGAGGGGGTTCAGAAGGGAGGTGGCGCAGAAGCCAGGCAGAGAGGACAGCTGAGCAGAGACCTGAGCTCTGGGGCAAACTGCACGGGGGCGAGTCCTGGGAGGTGAGTGAAGACAGTTCCTAAAAGTAGTTGGCAACCATTAAACTTTTCAACCAGGGAAATGATGTGGGTAGATTCAGCTGGATCTCACAGGAAGCTGTGTGAGGCAGGGGGAGCAGGCAGGAGATGGGGAGAGATGGGGAGGGCCTTAGTGGGGGCCACGCAAGGAGGAGACAGATGTTTGGGGTGAGCTCAGCTCCACGCAGCTTTCCTCTCGTGGAGCCATGCTCGATCCTCTGAGAGCCTGGAGGTGAGGTTTTGGATGGCCGGTTCCAGGGGTGTGTGATGATTCTGCTGAACTGTTCCCTTTCCTCTGCAGTGACAAAGCTGCAGGTGAGCAAATCCAAGAGGACCCTCACCCTGGTGGAGAACAGGCCCATCCAGCTGAACTGCTCAGTCAAGTCTCAGACCAGCCAGAACTCCCACTTTGCCGTGCTTTGGTATGTCCACAAGCCCTCGGACGCTGACGGCAAGCTCATCCTCAAAACCACACACAACTCCGCCTTTGAGTATGGCACCTACGCCGAGGAGGAGGGCCTGAGAGCCAGGCTGCAGTTTGAGAGGCACGTGTCTGGGGGCCTGTTCAGCCTCACCGTCCAGAGAGCTGAGGTCAGTGACAGTGGCAGCTACTACTGCCATGTGGAGGAGTGGCTGCTAAGCCCCAACTATGCTTGGTACAAGCTGGCAGAGGAGGTTTCAGGGCGTACTGAAGTCACCGTGAAGCAGCCAGGTAAGCACGGGGTGCGGCCATCCCAGGCCAGTGGGTTTAGTGGGGAGAGACGGCCTGCACAGGGCTCTGTGGGGTCCACGCTGGCTGGGGGTGCAGGCATACAGACCATCATTCCAGTGTGCCATGGGCCTGCCCACTCTGCCTGCAAGGGGTCCTGGAGCTGATGGCCAGCTCAGCATCCTTGACTCGCTGTTGTGGACAGCATCTTCGCCAGAGAGAGGCCTGTCGGGCAGCTGTGGTTGGCAGGATGTGTGGCAAGGCAGGATTCTGGGTTTGCAGTTTGCACCCTGGATCTTGGGCTGGGCCAGCTCCAAACCCAGGATTCCTGCCTAGGAGGCATTTTCTGGTTTCTCTCATCTGCTCTCCCCTTCTTCTTTACCACCTGTCCCCAGCCCAGGATGAGTGCTTCCTGTCTCCAAACCCAGTCACCACTCGGCCCCTTTCGGACCCTGTGGGTGCAGCCTGACAGGTGGCATCTGCCTCCAGGAGGGAGAGCTCACTGCCCTCCCAGGCCTCAGCTCCGGTTTTGGGCACCCCTCGTTGTTGAAAGTCCCCCTCCCTGAATCTCCCTCTCAGGTTTTAGATCTGCCCCTAGAAAAACCCGAGAGAGGTTTGGGTCACCCTTTCTAATACAGCCATGCATTGCATAACGACATGTTAGCCAACGACACACCGCATAGGTGACGGTGGTACCACAGATTATAATGGAGCTAAATTTCCTGTAAGAAATGGAGATGTGGTTCGAGAGGATTTTTTCCTCTGACAGGAGCAGTGTCTGAGGAGTTTGGCAGTTGATTCCCTCTCGCTCACAGCATCCCGATTCTGAGTGCAGAGATTATATCCCAGTCAGTCATCCACTGACCTGTTTCAGGCAGAGGAGCCTGTCACCTCAGCGCTGCTGAGTTCTTATTCCCACTGGTCCTCAGGCCACCTGTCACTCCCTCCTGACAGTCACAATTAGGGTGATCCACGCCTCCCCCAGCCAGTTTCTCCTCGATATTTCCAACCATCCCAGCCCACCTCGCTGTTCAGGGAGCTGCACGGACAGCGTTGAGGTTCTCATTGTGACCCTGCGGGAAGGAAGCAGGGGAGGGCTGCGGGGCACTGCTTAAGTCTCCAGCCTTGCACAGCAGTGCCCTGGGCCTTCACAGTCACTCACCACTCACTCACTGACTCGCCAGGCAGCACCCAGTCCTCCCTTCATGGTGCCTCCCCCACACAGGTGCACCCTTGTTTACCTTGTACATTTACTGTCCCTTTTCTGTGTTAAGATACACAAATACTTACCATTGCCTTACAGTTGCCTACAGTACTGAGTACACTAACATGCTGTACAGGCTTATAGCCTGGGGCAGTGGGCTAGACCACAGAGCCTGGGTGTGTAGGAGGCTAGACCGGCTGGGTTTGTAAGGGCACTCTGTGATGTTCCCACAGCAACGCAGTCGCCTAAGGACACTTTCTCAGAGTGTATCCCTGTTGCTAACCGATGCATGACTGTATGTGCAGGCAGCTCTGTGCCCCGTCAGTCTCCTTCTGGTTCAGAAAGCTCTAGAACTTCTCACATGGTGGGGCCCTCAGCTCGCTTTCCAGCCCTCACACTTACAATTTGTTGCCACTGTCTGTCCTTGAATGGTGGTGGGGCCGCCTGAGTCCTGCCTCCATGCCTTTTCTTATGCTGCCACCTCTGCCTGGAATGCCCCTTTCCTGCTTCACACCATTCCCAACACTTCACACAGCACCACCTCCAGGAGGCCTTCCCTGATATCTCCCACATGACCAGGGTTTTTTTTATGAAACACATAGCATAATAATTGTGTGTTTGCATTTCCTCCCCACTACACTAAGCACTTTGAGGACAGGGCTGTCTCTCTGTATCTTCAGCCTCTGGCATGGCCCCCTTAGTAAATATTGTTTGAATAAGGCAGGCATGGTTGATTTCCTTGAACACCCCAGGGCCTTTGACTATCCTCGTAGCCTGGAACATGTCAACCATAGATACTCATTTATCTCATTCTTCCTCAGAGGTGTTTCTAGCTCTTAACTAAAATAGCATTCTAGACACCCATCCCCGTCACAGAACATAACACCACGTGGCATTCTGTGTACTTAGCTATTTATATACAGGTAATTATGAGCACTTTACCTCTTCATACTTATGGAAATTCATTTATTGTCAATTATTATGTATCACTACAAATTACATGTTATGTGTCAAATATTACATATTTGTGCCTGTCTCCTCCACTAGACGTGAAGCTCCCTGAGTGAGCACAGGGACTTTGTTTTCTTCACCGTTCTATTCCCACGGCTTGTCTCCCAGGAGGCCTCAGTGACAGTGTATTCCGTAAGCAAATGGAGCCAGATGCAAAGTCCAGATGAGGCCTGGCCCATGCCGAACAAAGTGGGCCTGTTCCCCTGCTTTTCCTCAGGATATTGTATTTCGGAAACGGCCCGTCCTTGTCAGGCTCGCGGTGACATTTTATGCTGACCCTTCTGCTGGCGCATGAAAGGAAGTTCTGGTCTACATGCATCCTGTTGGTATTTCCAGTGACCTGTGTCCTGCCTTCAGGCCAGTCCCAGGGGCTTTTGAAAATGGAAGGTTGTCATTAGGCCCACAGATGTTCTTTAGGTTTCTGTTCTCGTCTGTTTTCTGTTCTAGTTGTTCCCTCCTGAGAGAGCACGGTCACACCCTCCATGGCTTTCTCGTAGCCACCATCCGTCCTTTCCCTTCTCTCGTTTGTGCCGAAACCGAGACACTCTCTGTAGGTGTGTTTATTGAGGGAGTTCCCCACCTGAGACTGCAGACTTAGAGCAGGCAAACTGGGGCAGTGCAAAATTGCTCTAAGGTTCTTGTCAAAGCACAGTTAGTGCAATCTTATGTATGGGGAATATTACCATTATGAACAGAAAACTCACTGGACTCTGATTAAAACAACACATTTCCCCTTTTCTGTTAAGTTTTTTGGTTTCTACATATCTTTTTTTCCTCCTGCTTCTAGCCTCCCCCCCCCCCCCCTTCTTTTTTTTCTGCTGAGAAAGAATACACTTGAGAGCTTTGGGAAAATACAAAAGCACAGAGAAGAAAATAATCTTTCAACCCAGAGACAGCGAGAGAGAAAGAGAGTGAGAGTGTGTGTGTGTGTGTGTGTGTGTGTGTGTATACTTTGGGGAGACTGCTTATTTAAAATATTTTTTCTGCCCTGGCTGGTGTGGCTCAGTTGGTTGAGCATTGGGCCATGCACCAAAAGGTTGCGGGTTCAATTCCCAGTAGGGCACATGTCCAGGTTGCAGGCTCGATACCCAGTAAGGGGATATGCAGGAGGCAGCCAATCAATGTTCTCTCTCATCAGTGTTTCTATCTCTCCTTCTCCCTTCCTCTCTCTAAAATTAATAAAGAAAAAAAAATGTAAAAAAATATATATAGCCCTGGCTGGTTTGGCTCAGCAGTTAGAATGTCGGCCCGTGGACCTGACAGTCCCTGGCTTGGTTTCCGCTAAGGGCACGTACCTCAGTTGCAGTTTGTCCCAGGCCCTGGTTGGGGTCATGTGGGTGGCAACCACTCGATGTGTCTCTCTCACATCGATATTTCTCTCTCTTTCTTCCTCCCTCTCTTCCTCCTGCTCTATCTGAAGATAAATGCAAAGAAATGTCCTTGGGTGAAGATATATATATATACACATATATATACACACACACACATATATGCACACATATATAAATATATATATATTTAATATTTTTATGTTTTTTTATTTTTTTGACCTTTTAATTACAAAACTAATCACATGTGCTGTAAAATATTTGGACAGTTTTGAAGTGTGAAAAGTACCAAGTTAAGTTGCATGGCTCTCCCCTTCCTCTATGTCGCTTAGGAGTGCCCTTCCAGGGTGCCTCTGTGCATGTACAGTTTCAGAGCTTTGTGATGCCTCTGGTCTAGACACACTCAGTAGGGCCTATTATGAGATTATTTGTATGCCATTAGGCTGTGTCCTCATCAGTGACACTTAGATGGACTGAAATTTCAAACCACTGGTTCCCTCAGTATCAGTTTTGTGTTTATTGCTATCAGATCAGTTGTGTTCCCACCTTGAGAGGAAACTGTGGTATTTTTCGTAGAGAAAATTAGAACCGCAGTTCTCAGGGCTAACTTGTGAACCTGTTAACCTGGGTTTCCTCTGCGGTTCTTTGGTGGTTGACAGCCCAGCATATGCCCTTTATGAGGTCAATTTTAAAAGTCTCTTGCTTGGAGAGGGGTTCCCATCATGCCCTTTCCTGTCCTTTCCTGGACTCTTGCATCTCAGCCATATGCTTCACAGTCCGCTGTCATTGGGTGTGCAGTCATCTACACCGGCCCTGTAGGATGTGCTTGTCCTCTGCTGAGCATCTGAACTGATGAGGGTTATAATTGAGGGACAGCCATTCCTGTCGTGCTGCACTCCTTAAAACTCAAACACTCAGGCACATGATCAAAAACTCAGAATGTTTCTAGTGCCACGCCTGAGAAATGTTTCTGCTAATTGGGGGTGCTGTCTTCCTTCAGTATTTGGAAGGTACCCATCACCTATGCTTGGAAAGGGTGCATGCAGGTGACTTGTTGTTTTGCTGCTGACGTCTCTTTCCTTGCATTTCCAGACAGCCGCCTGAAGCTGAGCCAAGTGCAGGGGAACCTGTCAGTTCTGGAGACGCAGCAGGTGCAACTGGAGTGTGTGGTGCTGAACCGCACCAGTGTGGCCTCCCAGCTCATGGTGGAGTGGTTTGTGTGGAAGCCCAACCACCCAGAGCGCGAGGCTGTGGCCCGCCTGAGCCGTGAAGCCACCTTCCACTACGGAGAGCAGGCGGCCAAAAACAACCTGAAGGGCCGGCTGCATTTGGAGAGTCCTTCCTCTGGTGTGTACCGGCTTTTCATCCAGAATGTGGCGGTGCAGGACAGCGGGACCTACAGCTGCCACGTGGAGGAGTGGCTGCCCAGCCCCAGTGGAGCATGGTATAAACGGGCAGAGGACACTGCTGGGCAGACAGCTGTTACAGTCATGCGACCAGGTGAGGGTTAATGTCCCCAGGCCTCCACACTCTTTACTGTTTCCCCTGTGAGTATATTTTATGGGCTGCATAAAATTAGTTTGTTAATTAATAAGTTGTCTGCCGTTAAACATATGTGCATTCAAGTTTGCATCTGCATTCGGTATCACCTCAGTTTTTCCCCTAGTGACTGGAAAATTACACATTCACTACACATTGGGCCTCAGGTGATTCTGTTTCTTAACTAGAATATCATTTGTCAATTAATTACTCCAGAGCATAGAATATCTTCCTTTTAAAGAATACTTTCAGATTTGGAGAAGTGGTGGACATGCAGAAATCTTGAAACAGTAGCTGTGTGGTTCAGAAAAGTTAGCTTATGGATTTTCAGTGGGAAACATTGATTCACATGCTTTAAGTAGAAAAAGATGAAATATATACAGCCTCCGCTCTCTCACTTCTAACACTTCTATTGGTGCTGATGACTAGTCCACACGGCCTTGTGCTTTTCTTGTCTTCCTTGTTTGTTTCCATCGTACCTGAATACACATGATTACTAACTATAATTATTGTGACACATGTAAACACACAGTTGAAGCACCGTTGTGCTGGTTCCTGTGTCCTCTGCCCATTACATCATTATTCATCCATATCTGAACAGAAAATCAGTAGTCCCTCTGAGGACATGGAGCAGAAACAGAGTTATGATTTGTGTCAGTATGAACACTTCTGTTTGCTTTCTGAGCATCCTGATGTCCCTCTATATTGTCGCTGGTACTGTTGGAGGTTTCGTAACATTTTAGTGTCTGAGTTGAGCAGCTTTGTCATTGGAACACTGGAACCTCACATCAGTGCCAGCCCCACATGTCATGGAACACACTCGGGAGACTGAATGCACTCTGTGACAAGGGCGGGGCATCATCTCACTCCCCTGTGTCTCCACTGCAGGTAGGGGAAATCACCTCTACTCTGAGTTACTCATATTTGCCATTTCTTCTTTCTGCCTCGCCTGTAAACTGCTGCTTGTCTTTCCCAAAGGTAAAATTGTAGTGATATGGCTGCTGAACAGCCCCCTTGTTCCCAGCTCCCACTCATTCTGCAGGTACCATGCTGAGGCCCCAGGTGGAGTGGGAGGAGACATACATTTTGCATGCCAGCTGCTCCCAGCCACAGCGAGGCAATTTATGTTCAGTCTTCATGACAACCTGACTAGTGCACTTTACTTTTATTTTTATTTTTTTGTTAATTCTCACCTGAGGATATTTTTCTGTTGATTTTTAGATAGAGTGGAAGGGAGGGTGGGGACAGAGAGAGAAACATCGATTGGTTGCCTCCCGCACATCTCCCCAACCAGGGCCAGAGATTGAACCTGCAACCCAGGTACATGCCCTTGACTGGGAATCGAACCCAAGACCCTTTGGTGTGCGGGCCAACAATGCTCTAATCACTGAGCCACTCTGGCCAAGGCTGTATGCATTGTACTTTGTTTTTTAATATTAAACTTGTTTCTTTCTTTTTTTTTTTTTTTATACTCACCTGAGGACATTTTTGCATTTATCTTCAGGTAGAGCAGGAGGGAGAGAGGGAAGAAGAGAGAGAGAGAGAGAGATCGACGTGAGAGAGACACATCAAGTGGCTGCCACCCACATGACCCCAACCGGGGCCGGGGACAAACTGCAACTGAGGTACGTGCTCTTAGCAGGAACCGAACCCAGGTCTCTCTGGACCGCGGGCCAACACGCTAACCACTGAGCTAAACTGGCCAGGGCTAAACTTGTCTTTATTGTTGAATGTATTACAGATGTCCCCCCCACTTTTTCCCCCCTTGACCCTCTCCTCCTCACTCCTGCCCCACTCCTGCCTTCCCCACACTATTGTCTGTGTCCAGTGGTTATGTATATATGCATAGAAGTTCTTTGGTTTATCTCTTCCCACCGTCCCTCTCCTCTTCCCTTTGAGGTTCATCAGTCTAACAACCAATTTGTACTTCTTAATTCCTTCACCTTTTTCACCCATCCCCCCAATCCCCTCCCATCTATCTGGCAAGCAAAAAAAAGGTCTTTGTATCTATGAGTCTATTTCTGTTCTGCTTGCTCATGTTGTTTGTAGATTCAATTGTTGATAAATATGTATTTATTGCCATTTTATTGTTTATATTTTTGTTTTTCAAGAGGACCCTTCAACATTTCATATAATACTGGTTTGGTGGTGGTGAACTCCTTTAGCTTTTTCTTGTCTGGGAAACTCTTGATATTTCCATTGATTCTAAATGATAGCTTTGTAGGATGGAGTAGTCTTGGTTGTAGGTTCTTGCTTTTCATCACTTTGAATATCTCTTGCCACTCCCTTCTGGCCTGCAAAGTTTCTTTTGAGAAATCAGCTGACACTCTTATGGGAGCTCTGTTGTAGGTAACGAACTGTCTTTCTCTTGCTGCTTTTAAGATTCTCTCTTTGTCTTTAACCTTTGGCATTTTGATGACGATGTGTCTTGGCGTGGGCCTCTTGAGGTTCATCTTGTTTGGGACTCTCTATGATTCCTGGACTTGTATGTCTATTTCCTTCAGCAAGTTAGGGAAGTTTTTCTGTCATTATTTTTTCAAATAGGTTTTCAATTTCTTGCTCTCTTCTCCTTCTGGCACCCCCATGATGCAAATGTTAGTATGCTGGGAGTTGTCCCAGAGGCTCCTTACACTATCCTCATTTTTTGGGATTCTTTGTTCTGATTGGGTGTTTTTTGCTTCCTTATATTCCAAATTGATGGTTTGCTTCTTAGCTTCACCTACTCTACTATTGATTCCCTGTAAATTATTCTTTATTTGTGCTGTACTTTTATAGGACTGGCATCACAGGAAGTTTGTTCACACCAGCATCACCACAAACTCATGAGAAATGTGATGGGGTACAACCTTGTGATGGCTGCAGCGTCACTGGGCAATGGGAATATTTCAGCTCCCTTACAACCTTATGGTACCATTGTTGTGTGTGCAGCCCATCACTGACTGAAGCTTTGTTATGTGGTGCATGACTGTGTAGAAGTTGATTGTGCTAGTTAACAAAGCATTTGGAAAACAAAAGTATAGTTTTGAAAAGAAAAATTATAACCTCACTAGCATTTCATACCCACCGTTTTACTGGTTGCATAACTTCCATTGTTTGGCTGTACTGCAAATTTGTTTTGAGGTATAAGTTGGACAGATAGACTTGAAATAATACAACTCCAAGAGTTATGTTGAGTTGCCTAGCATTGCTTAAGGTCCATAGTGTGAAATATATGAGTAAAGGGCTCCTTCCCCCAGTGAGGTTGTAGCTGAGTAGATTTACAGTTGTGTTTGGCTCACACAGCTGGGGAGAGAAAACCACACTCATCAGACAGACCAGGAGTCCAGTGGTCAAGGTTACTGCCACGGGAGCTATCAGCATTGTGTAGGGGAGGGGAGGGGTGGGGGGTGAACTTCTTTCTTGTGGCTAACACCTGGAAAAGGAAAGTGTGTTAACTTCTGAATGGAGACATGGTTGGCCTGTTCTAGGAGTCAGACATGAGCAATCAAATTGGTGGAGAGGCATGTTAAGTAAGGGGAGAGGGGTTGAATCAAGGTGAAGATTAATTTTATTCAACAACCTTGTATTAAGTCACTAGTGCAGACAAGGCACTTGAAGGGGCCAGAAAAATTTTTGAGCAGTTAGACAAGAAGAAACAAAGGGCGAGTATATGGGGAACTGCACTCTGGGGGCCTGACCTCCTGCTACAGTGGGTCCACTGCATGACTGAACCCAGGGCTACCGCCTTCGACATAGTGGCCAGTTGCAAGGGGCATTAGAACACTGTATTAGACTCTGGGGAAAGCACCCTAGACCACCCCTTGCTGTGCAGTATTTCTTTTTATGATTTTGGGGTCACACCTTAGCCATGCTTCCTGGAAGAATGAGCCAATGTATGAGGGAGTTTGAGTCACCTGTGGATTGATTTCATATTCTCCATTCTGCCGCTTTCTGCCCCCTCCCAAATACCCCCCCCCCCCCAGGAAGGGCTGGGATGACATGTCATGCCCTGCTGTGGTTCCTCAGCCCGTGTGCCAGCCATGCACACTGAGATTCCAGACGGGCCGAGGGGGTTGTCTGGGGGCTTGGCGGAGCCCCACAAAAGCAGTAGGAACCCCAGCTTTGTGTTTACCTGCGAACAACATTAAGCCAATTCATTGAAAGCCCAGGACAGTACTTGGGAAATGCTCTGATTTGGTCTTCATCCAAGTAGAATTCGATTTGGTATCTCTACTTTTATTGACGCTACTTTGGCATCTTTCGTAAGCATTTCATAAACAGAGCCTTTTAGGAGCTAGGAAGTGAATTGTGTGTGTAGAACCTACCCCCAGTGAGCCATTAGAAACAAAGCAGCAAAAGAAAGAAACTGATTTCAGCCTATCTGATGGTGTCCGTGAGCCGTGACTCGCCTGCTTGGGCACCTCCCTGGGGCTGTTCTGAATCTCCTGCTCAGTTGGAAAGACACTGCCCTAGTCATCCTTCTGGTGGGAGGGGGTGTTCATGCTCAGTGTGAGTCCCCTTTCAGGTCTGGTGTCTGTTATTTGGCTTCAGTCTTTGGAGAATACTTAACCGCCTTGGTTCACTGTGGCGTAGGCAACAATCTGTATGCACGCAGTGGAGATGAAAAGCTGCCGGGAGGGTGAATTTGTTTCCCAGGGGTGCTGAAACAAATTAGCTCAAACTTGGTAGCTTAAAACCGCAGAAATATATTCTCTCACAGTTCTGGAGGTTGGAAGTCTGAGATCAAGGTGTCACCAGGGCTATGCTCCTCCTGATTTTCTAGGGAAGAATCGTCCTGGCCTCTCCCAGCTCCTCATGGCCCCAGGTGTTCCTGGCTTGTAGCTGCATCACTCCAACCTCTGCCTCTGTCTTCATCTGTCCTCTCCATGTGTCCTCTCCTCTTCTTATAAGGACACCAGCCACTGGATTCAGGGCTCATCTCAATTTAATTACATCTGCACAGACCTATTTCCAATTAAGGTCACATGCTGAGGTTCCAGGTGGATGTGAATTTTGAGGGGATGTTATTCAACCACTACAAAGGTTTACAATGAAAATAACTGTCCCTCCCTCCCCAGATTTCCACATGCGGCCACATTACCAGCTCCTTGTGAGTTCTTCCACAGATACCCCATGCAAATATAAACAGATATGCATGTCAGAGTAAAACATGTTTCCTTCTGCATACAATGAGGTGTACACAGCGTTCTGTACTCTAGTGACTTTTCTTGGATCTCCTTTTACATCTCTGCACCTAGTACTGCCTCATTCCTTTCAGCAGGTGCAGTTTCTGTTGTATGCTTATTACTGGCATGTGTATTTAGTGATGGACATTGAGGTTGTCTTGAGCAAAGAAATTAAAAACCTCTTCCTTCATTGTCCCTCGTGCCCCCAGATGCCGCCCTGCAGGTGGACACAGTGGTCCCCAACGCCACAGTGTCCGAGAAGGCAGCTTTCCAGCTGGACTGTACCATCGTGTCTCGCTCCAGCCAGGTCTCCCGCTTTGCTGTGGCCTGGTATTCCCTGAGGACTAAAGCTGGGGGGAAATGGGGCAGCCCTGGCCTGGAAGAACAGGAGGATGAGGAGGACGAGGAGGACGAGGAGGAGGAAGAGGACCCCACAGAGCGGACGGCCCTGCTGAGCGTGGGCCCAGATGCTGTGTTTGGCCCAGAGGGTGGCCCCTGGGAGGGCAGGCTTCGCTTCCAGAGGCTGTCCCCGCTGCTCTTCAGGCTCACGGTTATACAGGCAAGCCCCCGAGACACGGGCAACTACTCTTGCCACGTGGAGGAATGGCTGCTCAGCCCTCAGAAGGAATGGTACCGGCTGACAGAGGAGGAGTCGGCCCCCATCAGCATCCGAGTACTGGATGCAAGTGAGTTTTCCCAATTTACAGGGGAAGGATGTCACAGTTGATTGCAACTGCCTGGCAGATAAAAATCACAGCTCGATTATGGATTAATAAACTGCATTCTCAGCTGTCATGAGCATTTAGGGTCTGCATACCAGTTCATATAATTGGCCCTTGATTGCTTATGCCAAAAATAGGGATAGGAGCTCAGATGGTTGAGCAGCATCCCATGCGCTGAGAGATCACTGGTTCAATTCCCCAACAGGGCACACATACAGGTTTCAGGCTCGATCCCCAGTAGGGGGCATGCCGGAGGCAGCCGATCAATCAATGTTTCTCTCTCTGTCTCCCTCCCTTCCTGTCTCTCTAGAATCAATAAAAACATATTTAAAAAAAAAAAAAGGGACAGGAATCAATGTGATAATTTACCATATAATCTCTTTAAATAAACTTTTGCTCCACCAGATTCTATTTTAGTAGGATTTCCTTGTACAAGTATATTGTTGATGTTACTTTGTTACTCTCTAGAATATCCACCTTGTCTCTCTTTATCGAATTAGCAAGTGTTTCAGACTCATAAGAGGAAGAGTTTTAAACAAGGAAGCCTGAGCGCCTCATTTAGACCCCAGCAGAAGCCTGGCCCCTGGGAGCCCAGCATTTCTCTAAAATGAGGCTTTTGGGTGATTTCTGTGTTCTGGGAACAATGTCCACATAGGCAGAAAAAATGTGGTCCAAACCCCTCCCTTATTCTTTTGGACAGTGAGTTAGTAAGTCTTTCTTGTTCTCAAGTTCCTAGGTCATTTTTATTTTGGAGGGTGACTTTGAAGTTTAGGTAGACTTTGCAGGGTTAGTTGGGGAGACCAGCCTAGAAAGGCAGTGATGTTATAAGGCATCAGGGAGAGCTTAGTAGCAGCCCTGTTCACCATCAGCTGTTGCTACAGAAAGGCCCACAGCTTAGTGTTTTCATCATCATGAGGATTTATGAGCAGAGACTGGAGGAAATACTTGCTGACCTGAATTATTTGTTCTAACAAGGCACTCTTTCAGCTGGCCTTCTGTCAAAGTGTGGAATATATCAGACTGAAAAGGGTGTTTGTTAGAGTAGATTTAGCCTATCATGCAGTAATAAAAAATTTGCTTGAAATTTCAATTCCTGTTCAGTCAAAACATTTTTCCAGATAAATTTGATTTTGAATTTTGTCCGTTTTTCTTTTCTTTGATTACTTCCTGTTCATTTGATAGAAGCAGATGAAATTGAGGTTCTGTAGGTCAAAAGTGGTTGACTATCAGCAATTTTATATCCTTGGGAAAGCTGAGAAGTGGAAATATATGTTAAATTTTCTTAATAATACTGGTGAGCAGCAGCCATGCAGTAGAAAGAAGAAAAAACCTACATCATATTCAGACCCTTTAATCCTCTATATAACCCACTGTCCAAAAGTATAAGGGAAGGTGTTTAGATCACATTTTATCTGCGCACTGTGGACGTTCATGTGTGTTAAGCTTCACAGGTCACCCAGCAGCCTTATTTTACAGAGACAGTGCAGGCTCCAGGGGCAGGGCTCCTGCGGGCCTGCTGGGTCGTGGAGGGTCCGAGGCTGGGTCAGGGGCTTTGCGTGTCCACCTGTTCCACGTGCAGGAGTAACCAGTTCTGTGCAGCCACAGGCATACTGTGGACATCTGTGAATGGTCCACCTGACTTACTTTTTTTTAATCCTCACCGAGGATATTTTTCCATTTATCTTCAGATGGGGGGGGGGGAGAAGAGAGAGAGAGAGAGAGAGAGAAACATCAATGTGAGAGAGACACATTGACTGGCTGCCTCCCACACGACCCCAACCAGGATCTGGGACCAAACCGCAACCGAGGTATGTGTCCTTGACTGGAATTGAACCCTTGATTCTTTGGTCTGAGGGCCAATGCTCTAACCATTTAGCAAACCAGCCAGGGCACACCTGACATTTTAATTGATAATGTTAATCAGGTGAGCATCATTTCCAGTAAAACTGTTCTCAGAAGCTGGCAGGGAGAGGATGGGTTATATTCCCAAAGAAGGATGTTTAGAGCAGACCTAAGTGCAAAGGGACAAATAAAATATAACCAGGCAGGAGGTTCAGGCTGAACTACAGTCAGCTCTATCCCTTCCCAGATGCAATTAAGTTCACAATCAGTCAACTACATGTTATGATGTGGCTTTCCAAGCAGTACCACTGACTCCCAGTAGGAAACGGAAGCATTGCTTTGTTTGAACTTCCAGCTGTGAATTGGAAGAGGTGCTGTTGTGAGCACAAGAACATAAGGGTCATCCCCATCATCGGTGGCAGTAGGGGAAAGACAGGGTGGGCACGGACTCCATCAAGTAGCTTCCATTGGGTTGGGCAAGGTCTTCAGGAACAAAAGCCGACAGTCCACATTCTCAGCCCTCATTGTCTTGTCTTCCTCTCGGTCCTGTCAGGTTCCACCCTGCAGTCCATCATCTGCTCCAACGACGCGCTCTTCTACTTCGTCTTCTTCTACCCATTCCCCATCTTCGGCATCCTCATCATCACCATCCTGCTGGTGCGCTTCAAGAGCCGGAGCTCCAGCAAGAACTCAGATGGGAAGAATGGGGTGCCCCTGCTGTGGATCAAAGAACCACACCTCAACTACTCCCCCACCTGCCTGGAGCCGCCTGTCCTCAGCATCCACCCAGGAGCCATAGACTGAGGCGCCCCAGGGGACATTGGCCACCAGGAGCCGAAGCGCTCCCATGCTGCCTCTTGCTCTGTGACAGGACAGCAGACAGCACCCAAACTCCAGAGTGCCCTCCCAGAAAACTGTCAGACTTGAGACGTACTCAGAGTCCCCAATCAGTCAGAGACAGACCGCTGCTTCTAGGTGGCAGTCCTGGTGGGCTAGTGATTTCCGAGCAGGTGTGGTCATCCTGCGGCATTAGGTTTCTGATTTTTGTTCTTGGTAATGTAGTGAGTAGCTCCAAGTGCTACGTCTACTCACCGGTAGTAACAGGTAGATGTTACAGGGGTTCTCATTCTTTGTAACGGACTCTTTTTAATTCCCTGTGGTTTACCCTTTTTGGATTCCGTAATGTTGTGGACGTGTTTCTCTTACATACAACAGATGAGAAAAGAAAAGTTGAACTTCGTAGTGCAAAGGAATCTCTTCCAAGACCTTTTGTTTTTGCACACTTGAAAATGCCACCCATGGAGCAAAATACACCCAAACGTTTTTTACTTTCGTAAAGAGACTTGAAAACTATGTGAAGTGTGGGCCCAATTTGTATCATATTTTTTCCCTCAGCTGGAGTTGTTGGAACCACTTTGTAGTCAAGATAAAAGCATTAATATTTTTTTTCTTCAAAGACTGTACGTACAAGAGAAGTCCTGCATAACCCCATTAGGAGTGGATCGTTCCTGGCCAGCCTATCTGTCAAGGAGGCAAAAATTGACATCCTCCCATTCTTGCCAAAAAATAAGAAAACTTTGTTGGAGAACAAGCCAAAAGCTCCAGACAGCTCACACTTTGCAAAGTGGGCAAAGGGCTGCTTTTCAGCAGCTACTGACTTGCAGGTTGATCAAAGCCAGTGATTAGGGAAGGAAGGAAGAAGGGCTAGTTGTTGGTTTGATGTGTTCCCTAAGGGCGGTCTCCAGCCGGTAACTGAGCAGGTGGGCTTCTTTGGTAAGGTGCTTTGCCAAACTCTTAAGGGAAAGTTACTAGTGAGCCTGGGAAGGGGACAGCACTGAGCTGAAGACACAGGCCCAAGCAGCCATCGTATACACTGACAGGGCACTGGGTCCTGGGGCAGCTTAGCTCCTTGAAGAGTGGGACAGTCAGCAGTGGGAGGGATTTTTCAGAGCTAGGCAGGAATAACTGCCTCCCTGGGGGTATGAAGACTAGGTTTTTCTTCCTTTCAATTAGATTTTCCACAAAGATATGGATGTCTTTCCTCACCATTTACTTTCCCTGCTTCTCACTGCCATACCAGCATCAGGGAAGGCCCCTGAAGCCCTCTGTGACCCTCCACTTACAGGCGTAGCAGGACATACCACATGCCTTTGTCTGTGGGTGTTATACTCTTCCCTTTCTTGGATCTTGTTCGCAATTTAGGGGTTCATTGTTATGGCGACTTCATTTAAAAGCCCCTCAATGTCCAATAAAGACCAGTGTCACCTGCCACTTGACCCTGTTGGGCCAGAAGCTTGGCTCCCTGGGAGCAGCGTCGGCTGCCAGTGCTCGCTCACTCCACGAAGATGTTTTTATGCCCCGACTTTCCCGTATTTTGCTGGCCAGGAGTGCCACCTCCCTTTCTCTGTGAACGCGCATCGATCCCAAGGGAGTTCCTGATTTGGAAAAAGCCAACAGGGATTTGGGCACTAAGTCTAACTCGAGAGATCACTGCAAAACCCTGTTCTGAGACTGAACAGACTCCAGGGAGGCCATGGGATTTCCCAGGTGTGTGGGTGCTGATGCTGATCAGGGTCTGGGGTACAGGTGTTCTTGGGTGCTCAGCAGATACTTTGCTGCATCGCAGCTGAAGGGAAGCAAGGTGAGTGCTCAGCTGTTCTCTAACAGGCTCACACACACCTGCCTTCTTTTCCTTGCAGGTACACCAGTGCTGTCCTGTGAGCGTAGGCACCACCACCTAACCCTGCCATTGCCGCACATGCTCATTCTCGTTTACTATGCTGCGTGAATGCTTTAGAGGTGCATATTCAGCTTGGTGGTGAGGGGAGAAGGCAGTCTTTTGCCTCATTTCGTTATTTCAGGGGTGTTGGCTTTCAGTGGGAAATAGCTGACCCCTATTTTATAGACTGTCAGTGAGAGAAGAAGACTGGCTGTTCCTCTGCCCCACTGGAAAGATGCCAGAGGGCTGTCTGGGACTGGAATGTGCACCTATGACGAATTTGAGTTGGTTCACAGCTGCAGAAAGGTAGCTGCTTCCACGTAATTAAATAGGTGTAGTCGTGGGAAATTTGAAAGAAAAGAAACCGAAGCCAGTATTTTAATAATTGTTTTGTTTCTGTGTATTTTCTATGGGCTTGGGGATACCATCAAAGGGTGAGCTTTTCCAGCTTTTTATGAAAATCCCCAGGACCTTCCTTCTTTTGCCATTTCTGTGGAAATGTGGTGCCAGATGAATGGTAATGGTGCCCTCCAGTGGCTGGGAGACCTCACTGCACATTGCCGACTGGAGCTTTGAGACCAGGAAGAGACTGCCCATTGCTCCGATGTTCCATTAATGAAACCTACACTGTGCTAGGCCTGTCCCAGGACATGGATATGAACACACCCTCTTTCACCAGGGTGTTTCTGTAGCAAATTTTCATATTCTTTTCAAACAATGGTTTCTCTGCGTTAATTGTTGAAGGAAAAAGAGGTGGGATAAGAAAACTACCCATGCATGATATAGAGAGCTGTTGATTTTTTTTTTTAAAGGAAAACTATTTGTAAGATGTTGCACTAAAACGTTTTATATACACTTAAGACACCTGTAATAAATTATGTTGAAAATATGGCTGTTTCCATTTTCTGGAGTCCACTGTCTTTTCTCCTCACTTAATCAGTCTCCTTCTCCATGAAACCGCCCTGGGACACAGTGAGCTCTGCCTCCACATTGGCCTAGGCTCAAAGTTTATGAATCAAAGCCTGTATTATCATGCACTGCTCTCAGCCTAAATTGTGCCTTTATACAAATGAGACAAAAAATAAATAAAATCACCCCTTTTTCAGGACACTTGACTGCCACCTGCAAAAAATGAATCAATAAATATACAGATCTACCTTGACTCAAGGCTGTGCTATGCGACACACAACATACCTGAAGGCCTGCTAGGCAGGTTCAGAATGTAGAACTTACAACCTCTAGCTTTCTTTCGATGAGGGGAAGGAAGTGGGCAGGATGGGGTAAGAGGAGACTGATGGAGGAGAGCAAGAACATGGGACAACCTTCTTGGCCACCAAAGGCCCCTGCAGGAAGACCATGCCATCTTTCTCACACTATGAAGTGTTGCCCTGACCATGAAATACGCAGCAAGCATTTTTCAGGATGGAGGAAAGGCAGGAGCTGTGCATTCCTGTTAAGTGAGAACACACAGCACACCAGTCTCTGTTCCTCACACAACTGGAATGCCGGGATGTTGTCTGCTAAGTGAGAAGGATGGAACAATAAAGTATTAGCAGTGATACATGGTTAGTCAGAGCTCATCTGTAATTGTCTAAAATCCACCAAAGAATATGCAAAAGGAACTAGGTAGAGAGTAAAAAAAGCAGAGGGAGGTGCTTCCTTTTTCTTTTAAAATCCAAGCCTTCCCAAAGGCTTTAATGTGTGCTTTCCTCTGCTCTGCGGCCCTGTTGGCTGCATCCTTATCAACTGCTCTCAGCTGCTGGCTTGGCCAGCAGTTTAAATGTGACTGTTTATCCCTTGGGTACCCAGAATGGTTCCATGTTAAGTCTTATGTATTATTTTTGCCTAATTTTTTTGCCAAATGCTCTCTTTATAATTTTTAAAAATCATTATTTTTCAATTACAGTCGACATACAATATTAGTTTCAGGTGTACACCCCAGTAATTAGACATTATATAGCTTACTAAGTGATCATCCTCATAAATCTTGTGCCCATCTGACACCATACATAGTTATTACAATATTATTGACTATATTCCCTATACTGTACTTTACACCCCGTGACTATTCTGTAACAACCAATTTGTACTTCCTAATCCCTTCACCTTTTTCACCCATCCCCCAAACCCCCTTCCATCTGGCAACCGTCAAAATGTTCTTTATAGATTTATGAGTCTGTTCCTTTCTGCTTGTTTCTTTATTGTGTTTTTTAGATTAAAGTATTGATAGATATGTATTTATTGCCATTTCAGTGTTCATAATTTTTGTTGTTAATTTTCACCCAGGGATATTTTTCCATTGATTTTTATTTATTTTATTTTTAAATTTTTTAAAAAAAATCCTCATCTGAGGACATTTTCCCATTTATCTTCAGATAGAGTGGAGGGAGAGAGAGAAAGAAACATTGATGTGAGAGAGAGACATCGATTGGTCAAGTATGACCCCTAACCAGGGCCAGGACCGAACCACAACCGAGGTACATGATCTTGACTGAAATCAAATCCACAGCTCTTTGGTCCATGGGCTGACGCTCTAACTGCTGAGCCAAGCCAGCCAGGGCTTTTTTTTTTTTTTTTTTATCCTCACCCGAGGACATTTTTTGTACAGACAGAGTGGGAGGGAGAGAGAAGAAGAGAGAGAGAGGGAAACATCGATGTGAAAGGGACACATCGAGTGGCTGCCACCCGCACGACCAACCAGGGCCGGGGACAAACTGCAACCGAGGTACGTGCCCTTAGCGGGAACCGAACCCGGGTCTCTCCGGACTGCAGGCTGACGCTCTAACCGCTGAGCCAAACCGGCCAGGGCCAGCCAGGGCTTTTTTGTTTGTTTGTTTTTATTTTTTTTTTCTTTATTGATTTGAGGGAGAGGGAGAGAGATAGAGAAACATCAATGAGCGAGAACATCAATTGGCTGCCTCTAACATGCCCCCCACCACCACAGTGGGATTTGGCCCACAATCTGGGTATGTGCCCTGACCAGGAATTGAACTGGGATCTCTTGGTGCATGGGTCGATGTTCAACCACTGAGCCACACCGGCCAGGCTTCATTGATTTTTAGATATATAGTGAAAGGGAGGGAGAGAGATAGAGAGAGAGAGAGAGAGAGAGAGAGAGAGAGAGAAACATCAATATGAGAGAGATGCATCAACTGGTTGCCTCCCACATGACCCTAACTGGGGCCAGGGATCAAACCTGCAACCCAGGTATGTGCCCTTGACCAGGAATGGAACCTGAGACCCTTCACAGGCTGACGCTTTAACCACTAAGTGAAACCAGCCAGGGCTAGTGCTCATATTTTTTATCTTCTTAAAGAATACCCTTTAACATTTCTCGTAATACAGGTTTGGTGGTGATGAACTCCTTTAGCTCACTGTTGTCTGGGAAGCTCTTCATATGTGCTTCGATTCTAAATGATAGCTTTGCTGGATAGAGTAATCTTGGTTGTAAGTACTTGATTCTCGCCACTTTGAATATTTCTTGCCACACCCTTCTGGCCTGCAGTTCCTGTTGAGAAATCAGCTAGCAGTCTTATGGGAGCTCCCTGGTAGGTAACTAACTGCTTTTCTTTTGCTGCTTTTAAGATTCTCTCTTTATCTTTAAACTTTTGCATTTTAATTATGATATCTTGGTGTGGGCCTCTTTGGGTTCATCTTGTTTGGGACTCTGCATTTCCTGGACTTGTATGTCTGTTTCCTTCACCAGGTTAAGGAAATTTTCTCCCATCCAATATTAACCAGGCCCGACCCTGCTTAGCTTCCGAGATCAGACGAGATCAGGCGCATTCAGGGTGGTATGGCCGTAGACTAGGAAATTTTCTGTCATTATTTTTTCAAACAGGTTTTCAATTTCTTGCTCTCTTCTCTTTCTAGCACTCCCGTGATGCAAATGTTGGTGTGTTAAGTTGTCCCAGAGGCTCCCTACACTATCTTCATATTTTGATATTTTGGAATTTTTTTTTTTTTTTTACTATTACTAATTTACTTTAAATTTTTTAATTGATTTTTAGAGAGAGAGGAAGGGAGAGAGAGAGAGATAACAACATCTGTTGATTTCCTGTAAATTATTCTTCATTTCAGTTAGTGTATTCTTAATTTCTGACTGGTCTTTTTTATGGTTCCCAGGTCCTTTTTTATACTGTTGAAGTTCTCACTAATTTCACTGAGCATCCTTATAACCAGTGTTTTGAACTCTGATTCTAATAGATTGCTTGTCTCCATTTTGTTTAGTTCTTTTTCTGGAGTTTTGTTCTGTTTGTTTAGGACATGTTTCTTTGTCTCCTCATTTTGACAGTCTCTCTATGTTTGTTGCTATGTATTAGGTAGAGCTGCTGTGTTTACTGGGCTTGGTAGAGTAGCCTTATGTAGTAGGGGTTCTGTAGGTGAGGCAGGATAGTGAGAAGCTAGGAAAATTCCTTGGCAAGTGGAATAGGGAAACTGAGACATAGTTAAACAGCAGTTTGCAGCCAACTAGTAAATCCTATCTTCCCTAAACCAAGGACACAAGAATAAATGATTTTCACTTCTCCCCAACCAGAGGGTAAATAGCTAGCAAAATCACCCCACTCAGAGACACAGATAGCAAAAATCCAATTAGTGCCATTTGCCAACCATACGCAAGGACAGATAAGAGAATAAATTGCATTTGGGCACATCAGCATAAAACTGATGAATAGTCTGTTGAGATCCTACCCACTAAGACCTCCTCTAAATGCTCAGCCTTTAAAACCCCTCAAAACGAAGTTCTCAACACACATTCTCTTTCCTAGGACAAAGCCTGTGCCTTAACCCTCCTCCCCTTCCCCCACCACAGGCATGCATCTCCTAAATTCTGAGGAACTCCATAAGGCTTGCAACCAGGGCAGCAATGAGCAGTGGCAGTTCATCCTGGGCAAATGCCCTGACCCTGTCCCCAAGGCCCCCTTTTCTGACTTAGCCAAAGCAGCCAGCCTAGGCTCAGTTCCCCACCCAGTCCCTCTCCTGTTATCTTAGGCCCTTCCTGTTTCACTGTCCCCAGCTTCAATAAACTTCCTCTAAAATTCACCTGGACTCATGTGAAATTTCTTCTCCGTGAAACACCACCGGCCAGCCCTAGGCAGACACACAGAGGGCCAGGTCCCCTTTCTGGTAACATAGGGTCCAGTGGCACAGCCTGCCTGAACTCCCAAGCTGGGCACTCCAGGTGTGCCCCCACCCCTGACCCATATAGGCTATGTGCACCCTGCTATTGTAGTTGAGCCTTGATTGCTGTTGGCACATCAATGGGAGGTATTTACCCCCAAGCTGATCAGCTGCAAGGATGGGTTGCGAACACCAAAGACCGTGGAAGATCAACTGTGCAGGGACCCACTCCTACACAGAGCAGGACTTTTATCAGTGGGGTTCTAGTTCCTGCTGAGTCAGCTCCTTGAGTGTGTTGCTTGTGGAGGTGGTTGTGTTACCAGCGAGATGAGACCTCAGGTCTTGTTTTTTTTTAAGGAACGATTTAAATCAAGAGACAGAATGTAGACCAGCTGGTGTGACTCAGTAGATTGAGCATTGTCCCACCAGTTCTACTCCTGGTCAGGGAAAATGCCTGGGTTCCCACCTTGATCCCCAGTAGGGGGCGTGCAGGAGCAGCAGATTGATATTTCTCTCTCACATCAATGTTTCTATCTCTCCATCCTTTCTCTCTAAAATACAAAAAAGAAGAAGGAGAAGGAGAAAGGGAGGGAGGGAGGAGGGAAGAAAGAATTATATTGGCTGCAGCAAAAACACTTAGGACAGTAAAACAAGGAGGGGTGTGGAAGAAGCAACAGGAGATCCTAGGCGGGGCTGCTTTGGCTCACTGAGAAATCAGAAAAGGGCCTTGGAGACA